GCTCGACACGCATCCGAGCGTGTAATTTGCGCGATTTTATGGGACACTTTGGTCTCTGCATAATAATTCCACCCCTAAACCGTAGGGATAACGGAAGAGCGGCGGAAGGGGGAACCGTCCGCGATGGGGCTTACGAAAGAGAGGCAGTGTTGGCGATAGGGGGTAGGGCCAAGGGGTGGGCCCGGGGTACAAGCAATCGAATTTGTATAGCGACTTTCCGCTGCAAGGGAACGCGAATAATGGGCGTAGTTTTTAACGACGAATTTATGTGCCGCGCACGCGTTGTGTCTCGAAACGCGATTATGCGAGGTGTCAAAAGCGTGCGGGACTGTTTGGTCTGGCGGGAACGCCCACGGAGAGAACATTCGGCGGAGAATCCTCGAGCGGCACGAGCGAACAAAGTGCGAGGATAATGACGACCGTGCGACGATAATGCTTTTCGCTTAGCAAGTAGACTGCTAACGCCATTTTTACTTTCCATTTAATTCGTGTCGCGATGTGTTGGTGACTCGAGTCAATTTCCACTGACCCTGCTCGTACGGAGAGTTGAGCGAAATTACTGGTACAGGCGAGAGAAAGATAGTCCTAGGGTACAATAAATATAGAAAGTCCCCATGGTCTTGTTTATTTCTAATTACTACGATAATTTCGGATTAATTGCGTTATTGGCAGATCAGTTTTCGCGGCGACGGAATATCGTCGCAATAGTGGCGCGATTTATGGCATCGGACGACTTCTTTTCGCATCATAAGATTACGCCGTTCGAGCGATCCAAACGGAAGAACGTCCGATTATTTCCTCCTCTCGCTTTATCTTATCCCATCGTGTCCACAGCGGTACCTCACTACATATCTTCGCGGTTTGATAAAGCGCGAAGTGCATTCGATAGATACGCCCGCAACGTAGCAACACGGAGACTTAATACGTTGCGGTCGCACTCGGTGGCATATGGCGTGTTTTATTGCGCTTATCGGGCGAATTATACGAAATAATCCCGCGAGAGTCTGTTTAAATAAGAGCGCTTTTATTGCCACTCGATTCGCGGGGTGAATATCGGGCTGCGTCGAGCACTTCGAGAGACTCCGCTCTCGTGACCTTCCGCTCGCGCGACTTGCTCGTTTGCAAAAAGTAAGGGGAAAGATCAGACCGAGAGGACGCAGGACGGGGACGAATTCGGTCAAATACAAAGATACCGATTCGCCAGACAGTTATGAGGGCCGGGAAACGCGAGGGGTAAGATAAACATCGCGATGACGAACGTTGAGGTATAAAAATGCGCGCGCGATCTTCAATTCGAGAGAAGGGAAAAATTCCATTCCGGCGTTTCGAAGCGGCGGATCTTTATTACGCGTCGTTACGCATCTGCGGAATGTAGGGCGGATGTGTGTGAGTCTGTATATGTATGTTCGCATTCGTCGGAAAAATAATTTTCCTCGTCGTCGTCGACGGGTCCGATCCGTTACGCGGCGTAACGAGAGATCACGCCGGCTGAAATCGAACGGCGGATCCTTCGCGAGGAGAAAACGCGCGCGAGACAGCACGGGCGAGAAGACGTGCCGGACGAAAATAATACGCGCCGTAAAACATCCGGCGATGGGAATCAATACGTGCTGACTGCCCTTGGTGTTTTACATAATTTTCGTGGAGCGCGCGTCCTGCGAGAGCGCGAGACGGAAAAAGGGACGACCGAGAATTCCTCTTCCGTCCGCTCGTCCCCTCCTTCTCCCTGCGCGACGTCGCTTCTCCATGAAAAGAACCGATTCCCTCGCTCTCTCTCTCTCTCTCTCTCTCTCTATCTCTCTATCTCTCTTTCTTTCTCTCTCCCTCCTTCTCCTCTTCAGGGTCAAATAAAATAGATTTAAATCCCGCTCGGTCTTCCCGCCAGAGAATACCAGGCCGCTCCCCGACCGGTCCTTTTCCATTTTACGTCCGTGTCCCTCGAAAAGTGTATGAATCGACGCGGTAATTAAATAGAGAGCACACGGGAAATAGATATTTCGCGTGAAACGAAAAAATGATGATCCGATTATTGTGACAATATGTCTCAAGATGTTCTTGCGTGACGATCGCGTGTTATATACTTTGTATTTTGTACAGATACACTGAGATGAAAATATTTAGTATTTCTAACTATAATCATCACAGGAAGAAAATTATAGTCAGAAGAACCGTTTCTCCAATAAGTGTTACTGTAGTATAAGTGATAATGAATTCATACGCATACATACACGCAACATGTTAATTTAACATAATTATGTATTATTTAACATATCCCTCATGTTGAAGTAACACAAAAATTTCAGTAGACTATTTCTAACGTAAAATTTCTCACTATGTATAATTTGTCTCGATGTATCAAGGTGAGAAATACGACAATCGATGCCGACTTGTAGTTTTCAAATTGCACAAGCGCAAAGGGTCTTCTTTCGGAGGCGGGTGGAGGAATTAAGGCTTCAGCATGAAAAACAGGTGGCAAAGCGCTTCGAGGAAGTAACGCCTCGTATCTTCCTGCTCCGTAAGTTATTAATGCGACTATGATTGATACGGCGCAACGAGTATCGGCAACTGTGCCCCGCTTGCCGGCTTTTATTGCGACATGCTGTTTCAATAATACCCATTATTGTTTCATTATTAATAATACGCACGTATTTGAACGTGGTAATGATGACACTCTGTAAGCTTATTTCGAGCCTTCATCATAATCGGCCGGCATTAGCATAATTACTCTTAAACGATCGATCTCGGCACGCGCGCATTTAACGATGCAAGTATCGCGCTTGAACACACGGGCTCGCCCCGGTGCCACACGCCAATAACACGAATTCTCGATTCTCTCCGCGATCGCCGAGCATCACGAAGTCCTCCCCCAAATCAAATCATCGTGCACGTTAACATTACTTCGCGACAAAAACATCTCGCAAGTTGAACATCGGACGGAACGTGTGTGTGTGTATAGTAAGATTTTTATCAAATTTCACTCGATACTGCCGGGAGGCAACGGCTCGAGCTGCAGGAAGCGCACACCCAGCTATCCACGGTTAAAAGCGCGAAGCCAAGAAATTTACATTCACGAGGTAGACGAGACCGAGGAACTTACTCGGAGTTTAAAAATTTTTAGCTCGCACACCAAGAACGGGGTGAAATTTGCGAGGAATTTGTTTAAGGGTAGAGAACGGTCCACAGAGAAAGAGAGAGAGAGAGAGAGGAACACTCTTTTTCAAGCGAGCACGTGCGCGGGGTTGGAGGACGGTAGGTAGAAACAGACGAGAGAAGGGAAGAAGGCAGGAAAGGCGACAGCGCAGCCCGCCTACGCGGCGCTTAATGACCGACAGCGCGAAGTGCAGTCGACCGACCGCCGTAAATTATCCGCACGGTCGAAGGCGAGTCTAAAACGCGGATCCAATAGACGGGCGAGCGAGCGGGCGACCGGAAGCGCGGCCGACATTACATTGGTCGGCTGCCAGCCGGAGAGAGCCGGCGAGTTCATCCGACATTAGTTACGTCAGCCGCGCGCCGCGGCGATGGTTCATCGGGATAAAGTAACCGAATTCTCGTTGACACGTACATCGGCATACGCGAAGCGAGGCGAGAGAGGAACAAACCAAATGGACCATCGGCAGCAAATAACTCGATTTGCTCTGTCTACTTGACTGGCTGAAAGGCCGCGTCGACTTGGTGGTGGAGGTCGAGCGGGCTGGACGAATGCAGCGGAACGAAGACCAACAAGCAGAGAGAAAGAGAGAGAGAGAGTGGAAATGGTAGATAGGGTGGATGGGTAGGTAGCGAGTGAAGGAACGACGGAAGGAAGGAAGCGAGTTATCGAGACAGTAGTGTCACCGTAGTCGTGCGGAGTCGTGGCCAGTCGTCGAGCACACTAGAGAACCAGTCTCAGCCAAGAGAGGTTCAGTCAGCGAGCCAGCCAGCCTGCCAACCAACGAGCCAGCCAGCCAAGCAGGCAGGCAGGCAGCGAGCGAGCGTACGAGCGAGTGAGCGAGCGAGCAAGCGAGCGAGCGAGCGAACCAGCAAGTTCTTGTTTTATTCAGTCGGGATCATAAATTACGAATTTAAACACACAATGAAAGACGCTTAACAAGAAGCTAACGCGAGATTGAGAGGCCCCGCCCGGAACACCTCTCCTTCCGCTGAAATACCACCGAGCCGACCAATCCGGAGGCAGTACCGCCCCTGGGTAGCGAAGCGAGCCACGGACAACACGCCAATCCATTCGCGTCGAGGGCCGAGCCATCTCCCCTAACGCGGAAACTCGCGGCGCGCGAGGACGAGGGCAAGGACGAAGGCGCACGGGAGAGAGACTCGATCTCCCGCCGGAGAGAGAGTGCGCGCCCGATGCACCCCGCTCGTACACCATTTCGCTGACGCGAGTCACTCGCCGAGCCCCCGTATCGTCGTCGCGGCACGTACTTCCTGGTGTCTCGCGAACCACGCCGTTCTCCGCGTGACGGTGAAGAACCCGGAGCGTCATCCTCGCCATCGATCGGTCCGTCGCAACGTGCGTCCGGTCGCGCGCGCAAACGACGCGTCGTCGTGCGGAGCCATGGGGAACAGTGATTGACTCGAGGAGGAGACACGCCGGCTACGAGAGGCAGTGCGTGCGCGGAGAGGGAGCGAGAGAGAGAGAGAGAGGAAGGGAAA